TGAGTTATATATTTGTTTTATCTGTGTTATTCTTTTGAGTATTATCTGAGTTAATAAATCTATCTTTTGTTTATAAAATTGTTGGTTATAACCTTTTCTTTGTGAATATCACTATAACAATAAGTTGACAATATTTTATCTTATTTATAAACTATGTTTTTCTATAATTTATATAAACACATTTCTTAACTACTCATACAATTAATCAAGTAAAATAACTTATTAACCAAAGGTCTAACTTGTTATATTACAATAAATTTCTAAGGCTGTAATATTTTTGTTTTCTTTAACCAACTTCAAAATTCATTTGTCTTGTCTTTAGATAGTAATCCCTTTACAACCCAACCTTGGTTTATCACTTAAATCCTTTGTTTCTTACCACCTTTTTATCCAATAATGCATTAAGCTTTCATCACAATGAATCTGCTTTACCATCTCACGTTAAAAACTTGAAACCTTTCAGGTGGATGCTTAAAAAAAATGATTTTATATCATTTATGCAAAGGAAGAGACACTTTTTTAGCTGCAGGTATTTTTATATGCGATGTACTATATGTGAATGAAATTTCACGTGCCTACACATAATCCATCGAAAATTACAGGTGCAAGGCAAGGACCGACAAAAATTTGAAACCAAATCAATCCAAATATTTCCAAATATTTATACAAAATCCAAATAAATCCAAATTTTTAGAGTTTTTTAGCAATAGTATCTATAAATAAAATTGGTTTCATTGGTTTAAAATAGCTTTTAACCACGTGAAATAATTAGTTATGAGGCGATGCAAAAATTGCAAAAAATTCGAATCATCATTAGTCATGTGACTTGGCCTAAATTATAAATTAATTTCGTAATGCAAAATTTTCCAAATTTTTTACGTTATCCAAATAAATTTTTGCGAAATATTTGTCGGTCCCTGCTGGCGGAGCATCGTTATCACGTGACTAACTTTTTGCCATGGCTTAATCTTTAATTTTAGCCAATCAGAATTTGTGTAGATCAGCCAATAAACCATTATGGTACTATTTAACGGTTATTTTCTGTTTCTGTACGTACGTACCGTACGTATCGGTATATACCGAAATTCATAATGTCTCGCATTTTTTCGCGTCAAACTCAGAAAGAACCGAAAAGATTAAACCTGAACATCGCTTATACAAAAGAATTTTTTGATAATGACGAAGATTTGTTTGATGTGGACGAACTTAATATAGACGAATTTAACGTAGATGAATTTAACGTAGACGAATTTAATATTAATAAAGAAAAAGAAAATGATATACTTCCCTTTGAACCATATCTAAAAATTTTACAAAGAGCCTGGTTGAACGAAAATTTTTCAACAGAGATTCTGCCTTATGAGCCTGCCTTTGAAAGGTTGAATGAAATATTAGAAGACCAAGTAAGCATTAAAACCCTATTTTAAGTATAATACGAACCATACTAAAATTATTTTTTTTTAGAATTTCAAAGCTGAAAGTCTGACACTTTCACAAACGACTGGTAGTCCAATAGGAATGATATTGTTTATTGATAATGAACGTATAAAGTATATAATGAACAGATATAAACGAACAAGACTAGCAAAGGTATTTAACCATTTTGGTTATCCTCCTTACCATAATAATGACAATTTGTGACGCGTAATTAGATCGAAAAATACGTGTTTTCTATTATTGAAAATGCAGAATATATGGCAAGACTATCACTTCCAGAAAAGGAATTCGCTGAACGGTATACATTTTTCTTCAGTATGATCATGGTTGAGATTTCTTATTGCTAATCACCGTACTTTAAATAGATATAAGCGGTTAATCGAAGAGCATGAACACACGTCGTTTTTAAATGTACTCCCCCAAGAATCATTAGATGTTCTAAAAGAGACTGAAAATGGTTAACATTGCTTATTAATTTTATAAGAATTCTATTTTTGTCCGCGTTAAAGTCATCAGATAAGCTATAGTGAATGTCACATGACTAAATTACCATTGACCACTGCTTAATAATAATACCCTTGGATTAAGATCGGCCTGTTTTTGAATAACTATATTGATTTACTACTCTTAATATGATATATCCCCAAACAGGTTCATTAGTCAACATTCCATTGCCAAATACAGCGCCAATATAGTACGTGGTTCTTCACATACTGTACTATTCAATTTTAAAATGGACTTCTTGAATGATCCAGGGTACTGACTGTAAGCAGTGGCCAACGGTATTAATATCGGATGACTTTAACGTAGGTCAAAATAGAATTCACTTAAATTTTTAAAAGTAATCAAAATTTAATTTTCAATCTGTAAGGTACAGAAACGTCTTTTGCAACAATCGAACATCCTGATTTAAATCAAGCTATATTTTGTCGACTTATCAAACATGTGGGAAGTTATTCGTTTCCGTCAACGTAAATTTTATCTGCTTCACGTTATGATTTTTAAGTTCATTATTTTCGTCTGTTTCTCACGTTATTCCTTAAAATCTAGTCCTCGTGACACTGAAATATTAAATAAAGACGACGCATATCTGGTCAAATATTCGGATGTACGGAAACTGTTAGAAGATCATTCCATCGAACTGATTTAAATTGGATGTCTGAAATAAAGTTTCTCGTTAACTACTTAGCGTTAATAAAGGTTCCAATAATTTGTGTTATATATCATGTCCAGGGTGTAATGTTGAGTTACGTGAGTTAATGGGGTGCTTCATATATTAAAATCCATGTGATATGCAATAATCACATTATTATCGACTGATTTTTTGATCGACAAAACCGTTACTATTAAAATATTAGTGAACGAAATTTGATTTTTCTCGCGTTCTAACCACTTTTTACCGACAATTTTTATGGCAAACAATTGGAAATGTGCAGACAAAGAAAGTTACGGGCCAATATTTTTAATTAATTATCCATTTTCAAATGTTTCATTAGAAAGAACTTTTCTTTTGTTATCATTATATATGTCCAAACTAGAGGTGCAGGCGAATCGTCCCAATGATACCGTAATGTGCCGTAACTATATTAAATAATTATAAAAGGTTACAGCAAACATGCCGTAACTTTTATAATTATTTAATATAGTTACGGCAAAGTTACGGCACGATTCGCCTGCACCTCTAGTCCAAACGAAGAAAATGAGCGTTTATGGGGATTTGCTTTTATAACTAAAAATTTTAGCCCATAACTTTACAAAAAAACTTTATACTATATTGTATATTGAGTTTTATTGAAAGTTTTCTAGCTAGTTTTAACGCTGTATCTTTTTAAATTTTTTTGTGTTGAATTGGCTTTTGTCATTTTGAAATTTTATTTTTATGTTTTAACAGTATTTGTATTAAATCGACTCAAGTATCATAATGTAACTTTTTAAAAAAATGCCTATATTATATATAATATATATTGTGGGGTTTTTGTGTTTGTCTAGTGAATTATTTGATACAGCCTTTAGGATAGGAATCGGCTATATGATTTAGTCGACTAAATCGACTAAACATAGTAATTTACATATAAATTTTTTAGTCGACTAAATCGATTCCTATCCCTAACAGCCTTTGTTATTGTTATATTTAAAGCAAACAAAATGTGTATTTGTCTTGAATTGGCTTTGTTAAATTAAAATTTAAAAGGTCAACTACATAACCTTCAGGATATTTTCGCATATTCATAGCTTTAAACTTGAATTTTTGACTCAATACCTAAACCTTCAAAATGAAAATTACAATTCAAAGCACTTGAATTACTTGCAAAACAGTGCAAGTTGGAACAGTGACAAGAAACTATTGACAAAATAATAAATTATTTTAAAAAAATTAATGATCAAAAGTTTAAATTGATGTATGATTTGATTTTTATTACTTATAAAGACATATTAGAGATAGATTTAATGTCAATCTTATATCTCTTGTATATAATAAAATATCCACATAGACAAAATCAAAATTGAATAATATTATCTTATATACAAAACAAAGCCTACAATTATATATCTAATACTTTTTACAAACCTAGAGCATCTTTAGATATACTGATTTATCAAAATAAATAACTTAAAAAAGATATTAAAAAATTACAATGTTCTAAAGATTGTGCAAACTATAAAGTTTGAAGCTTAATAATGCAATTGTACAATTTAAATGTAAGCATAAATAGCATATATCTTGAATTAGTATAATAACCAAATGTTCATCAAAATTAAAAAATCATAATATAAAAACTATGATTAATAATATAGTTAAAAAAAATAAAAAAGAATATAATATAGTTAAACCTTCCTAAATGCATCTTTTCTAAATGCAGTACCTCCTAAATGCATAATATAAGCCCAGGCTCATAGTAGGATTTATAGATAAATGCACCTTTTTTATTCTGTAAATGCATGTTAATTGTCTGGCCCACTTATAAAAACTCTCTTTATAAATGTATTCATAAATTATCAACCAATCAAATTCATTATTCTAGGCTATTAAAGTCATGTTTATTATGTGATAGTTATATAGTTATTTTATTAGTGTTTTTTAATTGCAACTCTCTCTAAATGTACACTCTGAAGCTAGTTTTGATAACATGCATTTAGAAAGGTTTGACTATACAGATATTATAAAGTTTATTGTATAAATTTTTCAAATTGGCTAAATGTTTTTTAATATTATAATATCTAGTATAAATACTGTTTTTAATTTTTTAATAAATGATAATAAACAGTTTTAGATAGTTTTGGGTTTCTGTAATTAGTTATTAATATTGTGAAGTATCAAAATTGCATATAATAAATATATTTTTGTAAATTAATGATTCAAATTATTTTGTGTTTAGAATTATAGCAAATGAATCAAATCAAAAAAAAAAATAATATTAGTAAACTGTTTTATATTTTAAAATTTTACAAAAAAATATTTTTGATATTTTACTTTTAGAAAAAAAAGATTTTTAATACTGCAATTCTGATACAATTAGTCAATTACTTATTAAAGCTTATATAAAATATAATTTTAATACTATACTATAATATAATATTATTAGGTCTTTGGTTAATAAGTTACTTTATTTGACTAAATATTCAAGTAGTTAAGAAATATATTTATTTAATTTTATAGAAGAAACAGTTTATAGATAAGATAATATATTGTCAACTTATTGCTAATATGATATTTATAAAGAAAGGTTATAATCAACAAAGTTTATAAATAAAAAATATATTTATTAATTCAGATAATACTTAAAAGAATAACACAAATAAAATAAATATATAACTTAAGAAAAATAAATTCAATTTCAAGAAGATATTATAAAAATCAAAACTTAATTTAACAAAGATTATACAACAAAAATAAAAATATAACTTATTTCTAATATAATTTAACAAAAAAATAAATATAGAATTTATTTTCAAGATTAAAATATATAATTATAAGGCTATAGAGTATAATGATTTAGTGAAGTGATTAGGTTATCACTTCTCAAACAGCACATCTAAAATTCAATTTTTATTGTCAGTAATAATTAAATTATTTTGTATAGTACAGGAACTCTTAAACCAACACCCTTTTTAAAAGTAACCAAATTTGAGCCAAAATACTAAAATTTGATTGGCTAATTTTTCAAATTTTTATTATGTTTTTTAAATTTGTATTATATTTTTTAAAATTTTATTGTGTTTTTATATATATGCAGCCAAAATTTTATTTTACTAATAACTTTAAAAGAAAATAATATTATCAAATTTTGTTATATTCAAAAACAAACTTTATAGTTTTGTTTTACTCAGTTTGTTGTATATTTTTATAAAAAGTTTTTTATTTAAATATATTTTTTATTTTTTTATATAATTTTAAAATTTTTTAATTTTATATATTAATTAAGAATTCCTGCACTGCAATAATACTATTATTTTTAAATTAGTAATACAATTAAAAGGAACTCTTCCTAATGATTACTTATACCAAATTTACGGCTAACGAAAAGCAGAAACTTGTTGGAGAAAAGTAGAAGAGACAACTGCAAATAACGATTTTTACAGAAGTCAAGGTTTTCTTTTTTCTTCTGGACTCTTCTGTATATTCAGCATGCAAGTTAAAAGCACTTCTGTACAAGATAACTGGCAAAAAGGTGGTGCCCTTGTACAGGAAATTTTAATAGAAGCTCTGCTTCTGCTGACGAAGTTAAAGATAGTTGGTCTAAGAAGAACAACAAGTGAATTTTCAATATACTCTTTAACAAAGTTTATGGATACCTGCAAACTGAAACCCTACACCAAAGCCCTACTCTTTGTTCTTTATGAAATTTCAACAAAAAGTGAAAAAAGTTAGCATACCCATCATAGGATCAACAACAACAATCACTGCTGAAAAAGAAAAGTCACATACAAGAGTATATGTCTACTTTGAGAATAATGACGAATGACAGGTTACTTCAAAAAGTTACAGTGT